TTATTTTGGCAGGGAGGGGGGGGGGGTTGAGCGAATACAAAAAATTGTAAATTTTAGCTATCAACTCTAAATTTTAGGAAGTCAGTTGCTCAGAGCTTTCTAGAAGTACCTTACCCAGAACAAAAAGTCGTAAATTCCCTCTCTTTTTTCCACCCTCTCCCCCCCCCCCCCCCCTCCTCCGACTCTCATTTCATCTTTTACTGTGGCAGCTCTAGAAACCATAACTTCAAGCTCCGACAGCATGCACCTTGCAAAAGTCAAACTCCTCTCTCATCCCCCCCCCCCTTCGCACCCTCCAAATTTGTCAATTCGCAACCCGTACTCATTCAACAAAAATTCTCTGCCCTACAGAACATTGTGTCTCTTAATTGGCCATGGGTCACGGTGTCGCTTTGTCCTTACAAAGTATACGCGCTTCACGCTCCAGTAAAGTCAGCCGCGTCTGACAATTGACCTGAAACTCCTCTTCAATTACATATTCTCACCCCCCTTAGATTCTTCTTGTACTTTCTTAATGTAGAATTGAATGAACAGATTTATTATGGATGCGAGTGACGCATCGGAGAATACTTTGAGGGTAAGGTGACGATGAGAAAGGGGAGGGGGGGGAGGAGGATGACGTTAGGTCCATAATACGGATGAATAAGATTATAATATCAGCTGCGTTGGCGTGAATTTTTGAGTCTACTGCTTTCAAAATTTGTTTAAACTTTGAAGAAAGGGTGGCATTCGGAGAAGGTTATTTTTGGAAGATCTGCGTAACAAGAACTCTTTGTATCACGTTTCTTTCATTCAAGAGGGCTGCGGTTTAGCCATGCCCTCCTAAAGTTTTTGAGGTGTTTTGAAAATTTTAGCGAGGCTTGTGATTCCAATTATTTAGTAACAAATATAGTGGCAAAAAAATTTCCAAAGAAAAAACTTTTGCAGATTAACTCAAATCTTATAATCCAGAAAGACTATTTGAAATATTTCATCTTAATCATAAAATGATTTTTTATTATGGATTAATCTGAATTTTTTATCAGTGTAATAATTCGTTTCAAAATAATTTTCGGCGTTCCTTTCTCACGAAATCTTTGAAAATTTTGCTATTAATTGTTTAAGGATGGGAAATTTTGTACAAGAGCTAAGATGCTCTAAAGAACAACAAAAAAAAAGCAAATGAGCTTCTTAGAATTTTTAGACTGGGCCCTAAAATTAACATTTGAGGAGAGGCACATCGTCGGCGCCGAATAGGGCAGTCCCTGATTGCTCTGCTTGAACTTGCCCCGTTTTGCCCTTTACCTCAAATTTTAACCTCTTTACCTGACCTCATCAAATCAGGATGCTTTCGGATAAGTACATCAGAGTGATGTAATGTGGTAGGGAATTCTTTACTATGCTCATTCACTTTCTTTTCAGTCAAGCTTGGACCAAGGCGGTGAATTTGCCAGGTGCTTACTAAGTGACTAGCTAAAATTATAGAAATATAGTGCCAAAGTCATTTGACGGTCGGATTTGCTTAATTAATGCTAATTATTTTTCAAAAGTTGAATATACTTGCAGTCTGCTTACAATCTCGTCAGCCTTTTCTACTTGAGGATTTTTGCCACATATTTCGATTACATCCAACAGTCTGACTTCCCATTTTTGCTTTACAATTCAACCCATTTCTAAAATTATCTGTACCTCTTACCTTTACCTAGAGTTCACCTTATTTGACTTACTACTTAAATCTAATTCAACTTGAACTTTACTCAATAATTTACACAAAATACGCTCAATCCAGCGACTCACTCCTACCTATACCCAACAACTTTTTTTATTTCTTTCACCTAAATCTCAATTCTTAACTCACCTTTCCCCAATTTCCGTAATTTTGCAACTTGCTTCAATCAACTAATTTGATCGGGTGGAGGACTCTATGTTGCCGAAAGTGGGAGGGTCCCTTCGGACAATGCAGCAAGATACTCACAAGGGAATGGTCGGAAATCGAAGTGGCCATTCCAGACAAGCTGCATACCGTTAGATGCAGCATGAAGCGCTAACTTTAAATCTGTCTTCCTTACCTGCTTATCGCTTTTCTGGACGAAGCTATAAGCCATTAAAGACCATTATTTTGCTAAGAAGTTATGCGTGAAATTGAAAATTTAGCCGTACAGAGCCACGTTCGCCTCAATGCTAAGCCAAAACATGCCGCTAGCGTACTTAAAATTTCTGAAGCCAGAAGCTGAGCTAAAAGCGCAACAATGTGCTCAAATTCGCTGTTTTTATGTATGATTTTTTCACAATAAAACCGCTTGTAGCTTCGTCCACAGAAGCGGGAAGCAGATAAGAAAGGCAGATTCGAAGTCAGCGTTTTATACTGCATCGAATGATATACAGCTTGTTTGGTTTGGCCACTTCGACTTCTGACCATTCCCTTGTCAGCCTGTACATGTATTAGAAGGTGTACTTGTCGTAGATGTCCGGCGAGACCTCCCATTTTTGGCGACTTGTACTCTTCTACCCAGTTTAATCACGCTTTAATCAATTAATTTTGCACAATATCCACTTTTGAGTTACACTTCACTAAGTGGCTTACTTCTGCTCTATTAAAGGGCAGGGCATACTTCACGCGATTTGGCAATTCTCCAGAAGTCTTCAAATCCAATATAGCAAACTGCACATGCATATTGTGTATAACTTACATGGATTGATAAAATGCCCCATTTTGTGCATATTCAAAATGTGCATACAATGAGTTATGGAGAGTTGGAATATTGCCAAATCCCATCGCAACTGAAATCGCGCGAAGTATGCCCGGCCCTTAACTTAACTATACCCAACTTTTTGACTTTCATTTTTTTGCCTTCCATTTCTCGACCCCCTACTTCACCCACTATTTTTACAGCATTGATGAATTATTTCTAATCTTCTTTCGTGCTGTCAATCATGACAAAAGCCGCAAGCTTTGTACTTTCTACTGGGTACAAGTTCTAGCTGTCAGTGTGAACAGAATTTGAAACGTAAATCAAAGTGCATGCTAGCCCCCGAACATCAGCCCCAGTGCTTATTTTCATACTCTGCTGGCATACGCATCGGCCCAACTCGTCAGGGTCGGGGTGGAAAAGTAGTTTTTGCTATTTTTTCTGGTTAGCGAAAAAAGTAGTTTTTCTATTTTTTTTCTGACTCGCCCTTTTCGATGAAACGTATGTAAGCGGATTTTGAAGCAAACTGTACTTGACATTGCTTCTCATGACTCATATTGATAGCAGGTGACTTTGAGTTTGATAGAAGGTACAAAATAATCCCCAAACGTCAAATTAAAGCCCTTGATTGTTGATTTCTACAGTTGCACAGATAAAATCCTCCTAGATATCGTGTTATCTATAATATATTCTTTTATGGTAATCTTCCTCCTCTCCATTTTCTGAGACAAATCACGCATTGTTCATACTTTTGAGCAATTGTTTCCCAATACCATGCCATCTTGACCAAACCTCATCACTTTTCCTGCATCCCAATGCGCAACCTCTGATTTATCTATAGCAACTTGACAGGTACTTCCCACAACACAAATGATGTACATTTTGTTCTTTAGATAAAGTTATGAAAATAAATCAGAAAGAGGGTATACGAAATGGGGCAAAAGTTGAGTTTTTCAAGCTGCAAAACATCGATAGTAAACAACTAATGTAATAATTTCAACCTACTTTCGGTTAAAAAATGGCTGAAAATCAACTTGGGTTTTCCATTACCTCCCACTTACGCTGGGTTTGAGTAAAATGCTTTATAAGTTGGCAAAAGCACTAAAAAGGAGTCAGACATTAAAAAGGGTACAAATTTGGAAATTTGATTTTAATGCACTTTCATATAAATAAATTACCAATCAGCCTTCAGTTTTCAAAACGAGGTACTGCTCTAATAATATGCAGTTTGAGGAAAAGAAGACTTGAATTTAGAAATAATCACATTTTTTCAACATTTTTGAATGAAACCGTGTTTATCTTACAAGGGAAGTCACTTAACTTAGGTCGGCCTTTTGAAATGAGACACTATTTTTAGAATCAGCTAGGAACGCTGATTCCAAATATGCTGTCCTTAGCTGCTAAGCGTTCCTCTGAAGCGAGTTATGAGCTTTTTAGTATGTATGCTTGACATATAACTGAATACGGAAAGAAGGCCTTTAGATAAAAATCTGCCTAAAAAAGTGGTGGGAAATCAAAATAACATCAAACTGAGTCATTTGGTTTTGATAGGGTGTTGTATGTATGCAAACTACTACCTGGATGACGATACCGTAGCATGCCTAAGTCGGTCAGCACGCAAACTTTGCCTAGGAAAAAGCTCATAACTCGCTTCAGAGGAACGCTTCGCAGCTAAGGACAGCATATTTGGAATCAGGGTTCCGAGCCGATTTTAAATATATGTGTCTCATTTCAAAAGGCCGACCTAAGTTAAGTGACTTCCCTTGTTAGAAATTGTTTTTCAAGCCTAGCCTAGTAACCTGATTTTTGATAGCTTAAAACACTATCAAATTGCGAGTCTTCTTCTGTTCTAGCAATACAGACCATGAATCTAGGTTTAAAATTATAAATTTTTTTAATTTAGTTGAAATTTCTCAAGAGTTTATCCAGCTTGCTCCATTTATGATTCAGTTACTATTCAATATTTTCCATCTCAAACCAAAGATCATATCCGGATTCTGAATAAACATTGATATTGTTGAGTTGCTCGCAATTACTTTTATATGCAGAATAATGCATATCTCCTTGGTTACTTCAGAAATCTGCTCAGTTATTTTTCATCCCTGCATCTGATTCACCACAATCTCCTAGCTCAGTTATGCTAAGCACCTGTAGCACCTTAGGCTCGTAAATCATCCAGGACACGCACTTTCTTCATTACACATAAATCAAATCCTTCATAGCACTTTCATCACGTCATCTATGCTATTATCCTCTTTCCACGCGAAGATTTCAGTGCTTAGTGGTAGATCTCGTGATTGTTACCTTGCGTTCACGTATTTATACTCTACAGAGTTTGATTCCAGAAGCCGCAACGATGGTCATGCGGCGAAAATCCGTGCACTACGGAGATCTCGATTTGAACAAAGTGATCAGTACTCTTGTGCAGGTACGTTAATCGCTTTTGAATTTAGGGCTCATTTTTTCAAAGATTATGTATGAGCAGAAAAATGTTTATACATTCTTATAAATCAAACGTGAAACACAGTCGTGAATGTGAAGAAAGTTTCAATAAAATTCTGATTCTATCACAAAATTATGTTATTTTTCTTCGCTTTTTTGCAAGTCACAGATTTCGCTTCTTTTCTGTAGAAAAAAACTTTACTGGAAAGATCCTTGCTCTCTTTCTAGATTTTTTTTCGCACAGAAAAACAGTTTGTGAGCTTTTCCTTGTTACCCAAAAAGCTAGCAAATTTTTTAAAATTTCTCTTGAAATTCATTTAAATGATTACTCTATAATTTAATTCAGATCAGTCAAATCAAATCTCAAAATTTCATATAAATGTGCCCGATAAATTTCAAAAATGAGTAATACCTTCACAGCTTAATGTTACAAATGAAATTTTAAAAGTGATTTTTCCACTAAAGAGCCCATGTTTGAGATTTATTCATTTTCTCAAAATTTCTTTATAAGCATGAAGGTACTGTGTTCCACTGTATAAAATAAAGGTGAGACGCAGCAACTTTGGGCAAATAAATTGATCAAATCAAATCATATATTTTTTAGCAAAAATTGAGGTTCAATGTGTCTTACACACTTCGCTTCCTTTTTTAGGAGGAATAGAAAGGATCCTCGCTCCATTCATGATCTTCTCACCTAAGAGCCCGAATGTTTTTTCGTCGTAGCTCTAAGATGAAATGATTTGCATCTCATCTTATCATAATTTAGCTGAAAGTCAAATCATTTTTTTGTATAGATAAATCTTCAAATCATTTGGAAGCAAATTCAGCTAATTATAAAAAGAAACTTCATGTGAAAAAAAACTTGATGAATTTTTCTCAAATCTAAGTAATTTTGCCATATTTTGAATGACTAACAAATTGCTAGCCAAAAAACTTTACTCCGAATACCTATGCCCTTTCCAGGTAAAGCCATGGCAAAAGAGTGTCGATGTCTCCGAGAATGAGATTCGTATGATATGTATGCTAGCTCGACAAATCTTCCTACATCAACCGATGTTACTCGAGCTTGAACCTCCACTCAAGATTGCAGGTACAATATATTGTTTTTTAGTACTTTATTACTAATACCTTACCCTCCATCTGTCTCGGAACTTACCTTTAATCTCCGGGAAGAGAAAGTGGTTCTTTTTGTTAACGGTAGACACTACCTTTGAAATGTTTTATAGCTCTGAGTAGAGCGAGGACTTTTTCCATGTTTGCGGAACTAATCCTAGTTGCACCGAGTTTGCTTGTGCTTGATGTCTGAGCGATAGGAAGTGGTAGAAAGGGCGGGGGGGGGGGGAGTAAAATACATGCAAATCGAATTAATAAATCTCGGTCGGCAGAATATAGTTTATTTTTTAAATTCATATCATGGTCTATTATAAGCAGGTTCCAAAAATGATTGCTAAGTTATATGGATAACATTGTCGAAAAGCTTAGAAATTTTAATGAAAAGAAATAACGTATTTTCGAGAAGAAAATAAAAATTTGATTGCATTTCCATCCAATTCTTGAAATTTTGAAACTTTTTTTTGCCTCAGTTTCGCGCTTATTGACATATCAACCTGGAAAAATTTTCCAAATCCAGAAAATTATTCTCAAATTTTCTGTATTGATCTCTGCACGATGCACATAAAATATTTAAGTAAAAGTTTTCGAATTCTTCTGATTTTTTCTCACACTTCGTTCTAAAGACGCTAGAGGCAAGATACCACCGTACGAGAGACAAAGGCGAAAGATATTCAAAAAATTATCGAAGACGGAAAACACAAATGAAAAATTGAAAGCTTAAGTGTGCTTAGAAAACTGTCGTAAACTTGTTGGCTTGAGTGTATTTGCGACACCGAACATGAATTGAGCGTAATTCTCCAAGTAAGGTGCAAAATTGGGTTTCTGAGGAAACATATGAATTTTTCAGAATTGAAAAGAAAGGTGTATCAGGATCTATATCAACCTTATGTTATTGCATCCATAAAATATTTAATCATTAGGCAATCGAGCCGAAATGTCCGCAATCGCAGACTCTTGACCTTTACCCTTCAAACTATAAACTTTTCAACTTTACTCCAATCGATGTTCAGGTGATATTCACGGCCAATACAATGACTTGCTTCGTCTGTTTACACTTGCCGGTTTCCCTCCCGAGTCGAACTACTTATTCCTTGGTGACTACGTGGATCGTGGACCGAAGAGCATTGAGGTACGGTAAATCTACGGTAAATTACCCGCACACATGACTGTGGCAAACCATCAAAATAGAATCGCTAATTGCACATTCTGATCGTTTCTGGACTCCTGGCGCGATCATAGAGGAGACAATTGCATATTACCCCACTATTGTCAGTCGTGTGGCCTTGTTCCCATAGAATATCGAAACTTCGCGCCTTTGTCGAGACGAGAACTGAAAAGGAGATTATAGTACGTATAGGGGGCTGGGAAGAGCGTTCGCGTGGGCCGTAATTCTCGAACTACGTAAACCGGTTGTATTTATAACGCCTCTACCATAATCGGCTAGTGTCCTATGGAAGCCATAATCTTGAGCACCTCCGGGGAGGGAATGATGTCATCAGGCTGGACTGAAAGTGTAATAAAATCATGGGGGAAAGAAGGAAGGGGGGGGGAGAGAAAAGGGGAGAAAAGTTCTTGCATTGCAAATCCTCAAAAGTGATCACATAGTTTACTAATGGCTGATGGCTTTTCCCATATTTTTATTGAAGATAGAGATGGGTGGATTTTTGATCGGAAGCTAATTACTAAGAAATATTGTTCATAAATGCGTTTGCTAAATTAGTACAACTTTTGCAGTGATTTAGAAAATTCAAAATTATTATACAATGAAAAGGAAAAGTAGAAATGGCGAAAATCGATTTTCATGTCTCATCGCTTTCAGACCATCGTCCTTCTGCTGTGTTATAAAATAAAATATCCGAACAATTTCTTCCTACTGCGTGGAAATCACGAAGTGGCCAACCTCAATAGGATTTATGGATTTCATGATGAATGTAAGTTTCATTCGAGTTATTTCCATTTTCAGACTAAATACCATAAAAATTGCCCACTCTCTTTTCAATGAAAAAACATCCCAGCAAATTTTTGACTAGATGAGGGGGGGGGAAGAGAAGAAAACTGTTATTCATTTGGTAATGCAATATTCGTACAGTTTGAACTGATCCAGGGCAAGGTAAATAGGAGAATTGCATTGAACCGAATTTTTCGAAAACACTCTATCACCGTTCCAGCTCTAAAACCATTTCCACTTTCTTTTTGAAAGACTGTAATTTCTGTTTATATCAATATTTTTGCACATGTTTTCATTTTGCATTAGCTTTTGGGGTTCGAAAGTAAGCATTCATTCGAGCCTAGGTTGGCCAAATCATATAGAGAAGTTTTTCAGTTTTTCGACAAGAACGTCCTGTAAAACCACTTTGTGCTTTAGGTAAACGACGCTATAGTGTGAAGCTGTGGAAGACGTTCCAAGATGTCTTCAACTGTATGCCCGTAGCTGCTCTTATCGATAACAAAATTTTCTGCTGTCATGGTGGTCTGTCACCGACGTTGAGATCGCTGGACCAGTTAAAAAGGATAGCTAGGCCGTGTGATGTGCAAGAGACAGGTAAGGGAAGACCACAAATATTTGAAATATCTGAGGTAACTGATTTTGAAATAAATCAAAATCAGTTACCTCAGATCAACTAATAATTCTTGAAGATTTACTAGTTGATATGAGGAAACTGTGGCAAGTCAAAAAAAACTTGTTCATTGGAGAATTATTTCAAACCATATTTTTATTGCTAATTTTATGGAGCACTTGTTCCCTTCAGCGTAAAAAGTGTTTTATCTTTGTAAAAGTTGCTGTCCAGGACAGCAACTGGCAGCAAACCTGCTAAACGGTCAATTTACTTTATCTAACTTATTCTTTAGGGTTGGACTTCTTTCTCGTGCATTACCATAATCTTTTCATTCCAGGACTCCTTTGCGATATCCTCTGGTCAGATCCGGACTCATCCGTTGTTGGTTGGGCACCAAATGGACGAGGTGTATCCTATGTTTTTGGAGTGGACGTTTTAGCACAGTTTCTACAGAAAATGGATCTAGATATCGTTGTACGAGGTCATCAGGTTAGTTTTTTTCACTTCTTCGCTAGCTATAATAGGAGAGGACGCTTTTGACTTTTTCTTCATCGTAGAATCCTCTTCAGAAACATCAACATAGCATTAAGAATGAAAATTCTAGGTGGTCGAGGATGGTTATGAGTTCTTCGGTCGACGCGGTCTAGTCACAGTGTTCTCAGCGCCAAATTATTGTGGAGAATTCGATAACGCTGGAGCAGTGATGAATGTCGACGAAAATTTGCTATGCTCATTTCAGGTAAGCTGCTTCAAAAGAAGTTTTGCTCTTGAGCCGCAAATTTGCATTAGAGCGCGTTATGCCTACCTGGCTCATCAAATAAGTGTTAATAGTCTACCCTAGATGACCAATCATTCCTTCGAACTGTAATTAATTCAAGCAAAACCACCTTTCCACTTTTTGAGACCGAATAACTTCCTGGAGAGTCATAAGGGCGTGCGTCATTCGCGAATGTCACTTTTTTGCATTGTGGTCCAGTATTAATGGATCGCTCGGTCATGACCTAATGGACTCCACGCATGCCCAGATCCGTATAAGCTCATTATTTCGGGCTATATCTAATGCCAGGGTTTTCTGGATGGAGTATCGGAGGGGACAAAACTGAAAAGAAGGAGTTATAATACTGATGATGGCGGGGATTTCCTCTTGTATAAAACTTGAACCTTTTTACTGTTTCCTACGCATTTAATCGTTAATCTTGCGTGAGAGCAAAACAAAAGTAATAAATGGTGCCAAATCGTAATGTATAGAAATTAACGGGCAAGTAGTTTAAATAATGGTTTTGTTTCCTCTTTAAGAAGGACCATTTTTTCTCACCTTGTCATAGCAGTAGGTTTGTCAAAAATAAAGGGGGGGGGGAGGGAGGCGTCAGATTTTCTTCAAATGACGGGACATTAGCTACACTTTATAAATTCTTGTGTGCTCCTTCAATTTCCACAGAGCTCATAACCTTGCAATTCGGAGAACACGTTTTGAAAAATTTCTAGGGAGTTGATCCAAATTTTAATGAAGTCCGGGAAGGCCTAATTTTTTTTTCTTTTGGTGGAAGAATTTAAACTGACATATACCATATTTCGTATACATATTTCCTTACCAGACGATTTTTTAAAAGTTCTATCTATAAAGCTCAAGAAGATATTTTTTTGTTAGATTTACATACATGCTCAAGTTCCAGCTCTCATAGGCCACTTCAAAAGTTTAGCGTTTTCTTTTCGGGATGGGGGGGGGGGACCTCGCAGCGGAACATGAGATGTAATGGTAAAGGTGAAAATTTTTTGGGGCTACTGTGACAGACGAAAGCGAACAAGCCAATCTTCAAAACCCGTTCCTGCTTTCAGCGTGCCAAAAAAAGGTCATGCATAAGAAATATACATAAAAAAGCTTGTCACGGGTGTAGCGAAGTATAAATAAGAACGCATACTAATGGAGGAGCAAAAATTTTTCTGGAGGCTACCCGAGTTTGATGAAAGCCCAAGCAAATTTCTCGAAAAACACCATTTTTTTACGTTCTACTATGCTAAAGAGAAAGCGAAAATTGTTTGTGCGTAATTGAGTTGCTTCTTTCTAAGAGTACATTTTATTTGATTTAACATAGATGCGAACTAAATGATATCTTTCAGATCCTGAAACCATGCAATGATGTGGTGGTAAAGGATAAGCAGAGCAATTTCGCCAACGGTTTGGCCACTCTGGTGAACATCAAATTGGTCGAACAGCAGAACAAACCCCAACGAAGGTTCCGACGCGGAATGTTGTGAGATTCGTAGCGACATCGTCGGCATATCTGATTGCTGCCTTAGCTGCTACAAGTCGAGTAGAGTCAGTTAAATTGTTTGGTTTGCGTGTCATTCTGTCGCGCATTCGTAGAAATCTACTATTCTCTCCGATTCTGCGCTTTACTACCTGAATTATGCATCGCGATCGATATCGCATCTGAATGCGATATCGCGCCGCGATGCAATCGCGTCGCCGTGCGATATCGCATCGCGATGCACTATATCGCGTACCAATGCGATATCGCGCCGCAATCAACTCCTTATGCACATCGGAATTTTTGCAGAACCTTACGTTACAGATACATCTCCTGACCACAGTTCTTCGTTTTCGGGTACTTTATTGTATTCTTCTTTTTTTTTTCTCGTTCACGTATCTATCTAATCAGTTCCATTTTTGAGCTACTATTTTCGCCCATCCACTCTGTTGTTTCTCGTTTAGTTTTGTTTCCATTATGTTACCGAGTGGCACACGTGGTTTTCATTCTCAGACTTGAGATTCAAACATCTGTAAATACCATGCCTTGAGATTGTAAATAAATCATATCAGGTGGAGTTATGAGATGTTTCGCGCTTTAGCCATATTCGCAAAGTCACATTCTTGCAAGTCCATGGACATACGGGTTTTCTCTCCTCCTTTCTCCCCCCCCCCCCCCTCAACCAAACATCAAAGCAGTCTGCATGTTGGCAAAACCCATGACGAATTGTCTGCTCGACGGTAACCTTCGGGAGGCAACAAGGAGCAAATAGAAAATGATTTGTTGACAGCAAACTCCATCGCAGACGAATGGTACTCGTGTACAAAACTGGCAAATATGCCCCAACCGAACCTAACGCACCTCCTGTTGATTCCAAGGATTATGTAAGAGCAAAAAAACAAGTCACACCAATATTTCAATCGGTTTATCTCCACTATCGTGATTCCTTGTGGTGAAGATTGCTTTTTATCGTCAATTCAAGGTCCAATGTTTTAGTATATAAAGATATCAACATTTATATCTCCTGCGGAGGAAGAAAGGGGGGGGGGGGGGCAAACTATTGGTAATTTCTGCATGCAGGCAAGCTGACAGCATAGTTAGCACTGTAATTTAAGACTGTTCTGCCCAAGAAAGCAGCTCGCTTGTCTTCTGATTCGTTTGGGAAAATTTCTCATATTTTTACAACTAAGTGATTAGTCGCAATGATTTTACTGGAAAATATGCCTCCTAAAGAACCCGCAATCCGCAAAAAAATTACTTCGAAAGCTGTTCCCGAGATGTCCTAGTCGAGCGCGTGCAAGCCGATAAAGTAGATTACTAGCAGCGGCACACTATCAGTTAGAAAAAAATATTTGTTTTTTTAAGACGTAACAATACTCTTCTCATAAAAGGAACTTATTACATATACCCTAGTTTCCACGAGTACAAAACGCAGCCGTTTTTTTCTGAACACGACCAGCCTGAACACCCTGAAACTCCAAAAAATTTCGCGACAAAAGATCCTCTACTATGCCACTCCATACTTTAGAAAAGTTGTGTAGGAGAGCGACCAGTTCGCAAGGCACAGTGTAGGGGGCCAAGCAGCTTACCTTACAGAATTAAAAGTGCGTATTGTACTCGTAGAATTGGGGTAACTACCACAGATTACATAGCTCCAACATTCAAATATTTTGAATTACGCAGAAGAGGAACTAGTGTCACTAGTGTTACCAGTGGCCATATTCACCAACGAAGCCAGTGGGTTCCGGAACAGCAGTAAAAGCAATAACACACTAATAACATTGGTTTTACTGCTGTTAGATATTGAAATGATGGCCACTACAGTCTCATTTCTTCGAACAGTATCTGAACGATTAGTTTGATTGATTTGCGTGAAAAAATGGTGATTTTCCAATAGACAATGTAATCTTTAGAGGAAAATCAACATTACGCGAGTTATTGAGAACTGGTTGTGTACCCGGTCTTGCCCTACCTGTTCCCATCTCTAAAGCAGTAAGACTCAAACTTTTTTTTGCCAAAACCTCAGAATCCAACTACAACAGACAATAATGAAGGATCATGGGCAGTGTGTGTCAATCTTCTCCCGTTGGGGTAAGTGCTCCCGTAAGGGCGTAATCCACTTCCGATGCGGGTGCGAAGGCCCATGATGCGCGAACGTGCAAGAGCCCGATCAGACAGAATCGGGTAGGCCTGCAATGCGTGGATACGTACCCTATTTCGTTTGTGCATGAATTGTAGTAAGGTTGCGTTCATACTGATCCCAAAGTCCGGGAACAGTTTCAGCACAGCGCTCACCTCAAGCGCTGTGCTGAAACTATTATCGGACTTCCGGATCAGTATGAACGCAGCCTAAAGCGCGTCTCTTTGATTAGGTGGCCGAAAGCTTTAGCAAATCGAACGATCCAATCACAGTCAACGAGTGAGCTTTGACAATTGTTATGTTGCAAGAGATTTGTCTGATTTGAAATTTGATTTGATCCAATCTTGACATTTGCAAGGAATTCAGAGCCCGGACTGAAGAAGGCTGTGGAACTCTTGTAAATTTCTTAATAAATCAATTTCACAGTCGAATCAAATCTCAAAAAGGAAAATCACTTGCAACATAATAATCATCAAATCCTACTCATTGACTGCTGAACAGATCGTTCGATTTGCTAATGTGTTCGGTCACCTAATCAAAGAGACGCGCTATTCATACATGAACACAAATGAGATCAGGTAGGTGTCCAACCACTGCAGACCTACCCGATTCTGCCTGATCGGGCTCTTGCACATCTGCGCATCATGGGCCTTCGGCGCCCACATTTGAGTGGATTACAACCTGGGGCGGTATTTACCAATCTTCTGTATGGGAAGGGGTTCCCGTACAAGTCACAGCCCATACGGGCGCGGGCACTGGCGCCCGCGATATAGGAAGCGAAACTGGTGACTGGGCTCCTGTCTATTAAAGGATATGATCCGATCTGGCAAGTTTAGCCATGTCGGGCACGGCAGTCGGGCACAGTTCCCCATCTCGACGAGTCGGGCGGCGCTGCCCGCTTGGGCCGCGCTTCCCAGATTTTCATAAATCGCTGGAAGGGCGCCTATGCGGGTTCTCGTTAACAATGACCCGCACAGCGAGTGGGAAATTGATAAATACCGCCCCTGTAGGGAGCACTTACCCCATCGAGAGCTTGACGCCTAACGCGCCAGGTATCACAGAGAGAATGTAAATAGCTTTGCGGTTTTTCACATAAAGATGCAAGGCTCACTTATCTATCGGCCTAAAAGGCCGTGCATACTTCAGGCGATTTCAACTGTTCAAAACTCACTGTAAGCACATTTTCTGTACAGAAGTTAGGGCGCAAATTGCCAAATCGCGTTGCTACTGAAATCGCGTGAAGTACGTCCAGCCCTTAAGGCATCGAATACTTACTTAGGAAACAGTCTTCACCGCATCCTTCACACCGAGATTGTAAAATGAGCTCTACTGCTATTTTACACAAAACTATGGCAACAACATGCTAGCGTTAATTAGCGTTCATTTCCATTGCACAGTGTTAAAAGGCAATAAATAAATAGATCCATCGAGTAGCCGCAGAAAGTAGCATGTATTCTTCTCCGGTGTCAGGATTTATCTGTGTAAATTCCAACTAAATTGGTTCATGCACAAAGGAGCTTATAAAACACATAAAACTTTACCTCGAACTAATGTTGAGTTTTTCATGTGGATAAAATTACCCCGGTGAGATGGCGTAGAGAAAAGAATGTAGGGGTCGCCTTTCCAATATTCAACAGCAGTGAAAGCGGTTACGTGAGTAACTTTAGTAACGATGGTAACACTGGTAACATCAATAACACTGGTAACACATTTGACTCCGGTAAGACTAGTACGGCCGACGCCTACAGGGTGCGCCATAATTATTTGGGTGTGTTTCATTAAGGATACGAATATAAGACGGCTTAGCCAGCGATCAAGCTTGAATTGTTTTCTTGGTTCAATAGTATTAGTTAAAAAAATGTGAAATTGCCTGTTCTGCTTTTCGGTAAAGATTCCTAATATTTCTTTGGCTTTGTCACGTGCTGCACGCGGGTAGATGCTCACTAATTTGCTCAGCATGTATCTTTTTCGTGACCGCTTCTCTCAGGCAAAGACTTCGCTGTATAATAGAGCTAGTTTTAGACTTTAAGATCACTAAGGTTTGGAATCTTTACAAGCATTCAGAACAAAAATTTTGACTATTTAATAATTTGCGTCAGCTTGCGTTTTCTCTGTCATGAACATTGCTTTTTGCAATTCTTACTTCTTTAAATAAGGACCTATTTGGGATCTTGATAGTGCTTTTTGTAGAGTATGCTTACGCATTCTGTGACATTAAATCCAGACCAAATTTCTCATTGCCATTGTTGTGGCACTACTTTGATTTTGGCGCAAAAATTTTGGCGCGCCCTGTAAAGTCCATTCAACAAATGCATGATTAGGTCTTGTTTTATAATGCAATAATTTTAGACGAAAAGGCTTTGTGAAATGAAATTGTCAGCGCTACCAAAAGTCGAAGTTTAGCCTCAGGTTTACTTTTGTACAGAACATTTTAAAAAAACTCATATTCAGCCGCTAATTGTCATCTGAGCAAAGCAAGCATTTGCTTCAGCTAAAAAGAAAATGCTTATCACAAGATCATGTATGACATGAGATTTAATTGGATTAGGTCTCGAATGCGGTTCTCAAGCTTTTATTGAAGCAGACGCAGGGCTCGGCACAAGGTGGCTTGGGCAATATTCTGGAAAGTTCCCTTGAATTCGCAACAAAAATACGACGTCCCCTATGAAACGCTTATGAATGCGAATCAAACATGAATAACAAAGAAGAATAGGAAAGAATATAAAAACAACATAACAGAGATTACAAAAAGCAATGATGTCTGTGTTTTCTGGAATGGCGCATCTGTGTCCGGCGCGCACCATCGCGCTGTTGGAGCAGGATCGACGCCATTTAAAATTTTTGGAGGGCTGTAACTAGACGAAGAGAAGGTATTTGAGGAGGTATGGGAACTATTTTGTAGGGTTTCAGATGTAGCCCAAAGTTAAGTAAAGAGTGTAATAAAACCATGTGAGAGGAAGATTTTAGGACTTTGTTCTCTTTGAGCCACCTCGGAACACAGTCCAAAAATTTTTGAGAAAGCTTAAAATGTTGGCCGAGCTTGTACTCATACATCTACACCATCTAGAAGAACTTATCCATTTAAGGTCCGATAGGAAGACCGACACATTTGTCGCTAAACAGCGCGCAAAACTCAAGCGGCAGCAGTCAAAGATAACAACTATTGGGACCTTGTTCAAACAGTTCTAAGCATATTGTCGTGCTGCAAATTTGTCACTATACCAGTCTTGCTTGCTACTATCCATTCCATCTACATATGACAACAACATCCTGCGGGATAGGGACCAAATGCGGAAAGTGCAGTTGCCGAAATCGCCAACATTTTGCCTCTCAAAAATTTGCTCTGAGAGTTTATAAACAGGCTTGAGCGTGGGGTCAGGCGCGCCCGACCTGGGGGGGTCGTATTGCGAGTAAGACTGAGGAAGGGGGTCGTAATTAAGAATCGAATTATTTAGCTGGGGAGACATACGAATGTGAAGAAGAATTGCGATAGTCCGGTAGATATCGCAATCACCTAAAGGAATGACGGTCGTTAACAGCATACTGATTGTTCCCACAATCGAAGTTAGTCAAAATTTAATCTTCATATTTTATCCTGGCAGATCATGAGGTCGACAAGGAAGCTTGCTGTGTGAGATGCTGAATCCTTTCCGTAATCCGCATGTCAATTTACCTCTATGCGCTCTACTAACCATTGCCTCTGCATTTTCTAGTATTTCTCAACGTCCAAAAAACGTGATTTTCAAACATGATTAACTTGGTTTCAAAAGTGAAAAATGTAAGCTTTTCTTTACTCATAACAAAGTAATGTTCACTACAAGTCTATGCTACAAATAGGCTTCATATCGCTTTTAAACAGTGAAGTAAGAAGTGCTGCCAAAAGTCCAAGCGGCACGTTCTTCACATTGAAATGCTTCAACTCCGCAGATTAGCACAAGGTCATAACAAGTCGACTCAAGCTCAAACACTTACTGTTGAATCTTCCAGGGTTGGCTTGCGAATCACATAAAACTTGGGTAGAAAAACTTCTTCGGAAATAAAGTTAATGGGATCAGGCGCAACCCCTCAAAAGGGGTAGCGCCTGACTCCATTAACTTGCCTTCACTATTCAAAAATCGCCCCTTTTTTAGTATAAGTATTGAGCGCAAAGCCTCTTCTTGCGTTATTGGAAATTCGGGGCCAAACATGCCATCTCTGCGAAAATTCTAGCTCATAAAAGAGGGCTATCGGGATCCAAAACTTGCCGTCACGTTGCGTGTAGTCGTGCAATCGCAGAAAGCCGGGCCTATGGACTTTTAAGAATAGAAACCTGCACTGAAAGCTGGTCTTCTTCAAAGGTAATGCCCTGAGGACGTGGAGGTCAAGCGGAGGGGTCGGGGTTTAGAGGCTCTTTCACAGGGGGGGGTCGTTTCTGAAGGACTTGTGCCTGACCTCTTGCACAACCCTGGTTATAAATCAAAGAGATTCAAATTCGCTCCGAAAACGAACAACGCTTCTTGTAGAGCAGTATTGGCTTTTCGAACGGTACATGTACTTTGACGTAAAACAACCGCTTCGTCGATAAACGGCTACAAAAAATAAAAACTCTACGGACTTATGAAACGACCTAATAATTTCATTAGCTATTGGCATGTTCTAGCGGCTGAATGAGCATATTGGCCAATATCCCTCTTTCCTTTTTTAGATGAGTTCACTGCAGATCTTCTATTGAGTCTTCAACATGAGTGCTAGATTTGCTCATGATTTCATTAGCTGTTTACAAGAAAAGCGCTGCAATAGTCGATAGATGTGAAGATATCGACATTATATGGAGCAGACAATCGCCAAAGATCTTTCGTAAGATTTATTTGCCGCCGGTATTTTATTATTCCATCCTCACAGCAGTCACTTTTAAATCAATATAAACAAACATCTCATGAACATCCAATCCAGAATTTCAATCTGAAGCGACTCAGTCCATTGGAAGGGAACCTTTACTTTTCTGGTATCTATCGAATTAAAAAGTCACGTGAAGGTGGCCGCAAATATATGGCGTTAGCACAGTTGAAGCGATATGGCTTACGCATATCATTATCTCGTACAAAGGTAGGTAAATAAGCTTCTGCTCTGCTCTCGTATAAAATCAAAAACGCACGTTTTGACTTTGTGTAATTTCAACTGCAGGAAGTATCTTGTGACTTTAGTAGTGGCAATTTCTCATTCATTATTCAAACGTGTGTTTAGTATCACGTATGCGCTAGTTTCCATGCGTTTTCATTAATATAGATAGCTTTAATTCAAAGGGTTTCCCTCTCTTATGAAATCTGGCACATATAAGGTTGTCCGACGCATTTTCGGTTTTTTCTTCTCTATAAAGCTGTATGGAGCGATATCGATTTCATTTTATCTTGACCAGAGGTACGTGCGTTGCCGTTAGGTTCCTCGAAGGATGCGATAAGTTGCCAAGACCGAATATATTGCGAAAAATGTAAATATTGAAGTGCGAAAATTGCTAATCGATCAGTCCATAGCATGACTAGTGAAAAAACCCAAATACCTTTTGGTACAGCTTAATACATGATTACAGATGAGGCCATTGCGATCCCGTATAGCTTTTCTCTTGCTTATTTTACTATTGACAATACTAATGCTTTCCGAAATTTTCTCGATAAACTCAAAGATCGTAGATTTTTTCACTGTAAGTTCCTTCTCTATCTTTCTGCTCTCCATGACATCCTCACAGGGTACTACCGAGTCACACAGACTAATAAGGAAAGCCTTTGATGTCTGGCACAAATGCATTGTGGAGGAATTTGAAGAAAAACGGGAGAAAGACAGTTTGGAAAAGGTACCATGAATCAGTATTTTGTCCTCATATTAAACATTGTACGACTGCAGCTTTGGAAGGACTTCGCAAATATTACTGAGACCTGCACTATTCGTTCGAAGCTGTCAAATATAAAGCTGACGCCTTTTGTAAATTCTGATGAAACTAAGTATTACTTATTCAGCGACATAGTAAGTACTAATCACCCAATACACACGAGTTAGACTTATTACACAGCCTGAAGATTTCGAGCCTAGTGTCATTGTATCACTTGGAATTGGTGCTGATGTTGGAGCAGAGCTTGCGCTCAAAGAAAAGCTGCCAGAGGTCAGTCTAGAGAAACAGTTGGTGATTTCTTAATTTCTTTTCCTTAGGACACTGAGTTTTTTGGAGCTGATCCCGTTTATTCTCCAAACGCAGAGCTCTTCAGCAAAGTAGGAACGTTTTTCCCACTTGCAGTGAGTGAAAGGACAGGTCTTGTACGCTCTGGACTTCGCAATGATGACGGTAATATTATGTTGGAGGCGAAGATCACAGATCTACCACTTTTTGATGGCAGGAAAAGATAGACCTATTTGACCTCTAAGCAGGGTAGGATGCTGCTGGAGGGAAGCAGCGAAAGTGCTAAGACAACGCTCTCAGAATTTTTAGCGAGCCGTGAAAGAGAAACGGACCTCCTTTCCCCCTTTAGACAGAGAAAGTGAAGACTCTGATGGGAAAATTGGGTTGAAGCCCGTTGTTATACATAATGACACGCATTCTTACGTTTCTTTTTGCATAGTTTCTGTTAAGATAAACTATCTTGAACTCAAAACCGTGCTCGTCTATGTTTAATTTAGATAGACAGGGTGTCCCAAAAAATGTATCGAACGTTTGATCGTTAATATCTCTCTTCTAAAGAAGTCTTTTCTCTTGCTTCGGGTACCAATCTGTAGAGCTGGCTTCACCTTAGATTTGCATTATAGAACGAATCACTCATTTCTCTTCATTACTGTAGGATTACGGTAAAAACTTCAAAGAGAGTTTTAAGCAATGAAAGGCCACATTTTGCCTCAGAAAGGAAACAAAACAGCCTGAAAGCTTCTACACTAGGCTAATTAGAGTTGCTGATTCTAACTGTAAAGTTCCCAACTTATTATGATGTTTCATTGAAGAGTTATGCCGGGTAAGACGTAGCGGCCATTTTTTCAAGGTTCCTAAAAAGTGAAGTTACACCGTTTGGAAAGCTTCATAATCTTGTGACTAGTTGAGTATTGAACTCAGCGTCCATAAGAACCCTATTACACAAGTTTTCACAATTTTTTGAAAAATTTTTAAGCGGCAGCTTTTTCCACATTGACACCATATGTTTCAAGTTTCTACCGTAATCCTACAGTAATGAAGAGAGTTGGGTGATTCGTTCTATAATTCAAATCTAAGTTGAAGCCAGCTCTACAAGACGGTACTTGAAGCAAGGCAAAAGACTTCTTGGAAAGAGAGATATTAACGATCAAATGTTCGATACATTTTTTTGGGACACCCTGTATAATAACCAGTGCGTCACCTCCGCTTCGCGGAGGTTCGCACTGCCTCTCCTATCCGTATAACTTTCTTGTGTTCGCATTATGATGACTTTGAAACTCACCACGCAATGCCCAATATCACAAATGAATCGTAAACAACTGTTCATTCTTGAAGCAATTTCACGTAAGATCGGTAATTTTGAGAAGAAAAACAATTTCGCAAAGGAACGGATGCGAATTTGAATGGATTACCGAATTGGTGTTGGATTGGTAGTCGTCATAAGGATAATAGTCACTTTGAGCTACATTTCTGTGCAAAAATCTTTTCAAAATTCAAGGTAAATCTTTGTTAAAACGACTATCTGCGCGATCACCCCTTTTTGGCGCTATTTTGTCCAGAAACAAACTTTTCGAACGCATTTCGGGCTAGAAACCATGACTTTGCAAAAAGTCGAATTAGCGACCTAGTTTTGTGAGCCAAAAGCCACGTGGACTCGTCTGACGCGCCAATTTTGAAGGACAGTTTATCGAACCGGCTCGTCCTTGTGCACGCTGGGCCTACATGCTGGTACGGTATGCTTTGCAAAATTGTAGGTCGCCAGCTTGGCTGCAGCTCCCTCTGTGAATTTCGTGACAGACAGACAAACACACAGACACACACACGCACAAAAAGACAGACGTTTAGCGCTTTATTATAATACCAGTGCGTCACCTCTGCTTCGCAGAGTCTCGCACTGGTCCTACTTTCTGCGTGCCTTACTCATTCCTGCATGATAGTGACATTGAAATTCACCGCGTTATGCAGGCTATCACGATGATTTGTAAACAGCTACTCATTCCTAGAGCTTTTTTGTGTGAAATCGGTATTTTTACGTGGATGAAACTTTTCTCAGAAGAATAAATGCGAATTTGAATAAGTTTGTGGAGTTTTTATGGCTTGATAGTTGCCATAACGGCAATAATCGTCCTGGGCTACATCTCTGGGCAAAAATTTTCTCAAATGATCACGTAAAATCTTGGAAAATTGAACATTTACGCAACTAATACTTTTTGGCGCCATATTCGTAAAGTAACAAGCCTTAGTTGAATTTTTTGGGCTAAAGTCCATGGTCCAGAAGGAGAGGATTCCCGACCAGTGGAGAACGTCAAGAACCGTCCTTCTTTTTGAGAAGGGTGAACGGGAAGATCTTCGAAATTACCGTCCAATATGCCTGCTGGGTGTGCTGTACAAGCTCTTCACGAAGATTATCCTCGCACGCATATCTAGGGCACTGGATGAAGCCCAACCCCAAGAATAAGCTGGATTTCGCAAAGGATTCAGCTGCATGGACCACATCCAGACGGTTTCGAGGGTCATAGAAGTCTGCCGGGAGTACCGACTGCCTCTCGTCCTAACCTTCGTCGACTACGAGAAAGCCTTCGACAGCGTCGAACCGAACGCCATTCTGTCAGCGTTAGTCGATCAAGGAGTGGACCCAGCTTACGTGAAGACACTAGCCGACTGCTACAAGGACTGTACAACAACGATGCAGCTATTCCATCGCCCCCTAACCATTCCAATTGGGAAGAGGGTTCGACAAGGCGACACTATTTCGCCGAAGCTGTTCACCGCGGCCTTGCAGTGGGTGATGAAGTCACTAGACTGGGAAGAGAGAGGCATACGAGTTGATGGGAGATTCCTATCCAACCTTCGTTTTGCGGATGACATCGTCCTTTTCTCGAGTAGTATCACTGAAGCAGAGGCGATGCTAAAGGAACTAAACGAAGTAAGGAAGAAGATCGGACTGCGAATAAATCGGAAGAAGACTCAGTTCATGAAGAACGCCCCTTGCGAAGATGCAGAAATGGAATTGGAAGGCACCCCTATCATGGAGACGTCTTCTTACGTGTATCTCGGACGTTCGATGAACATGGAGAACGACTTGAGGGAAGAACTTAACAGGAGAAGAAGAGCAGCCTGGGCCGCCTTCGGGCCTCTGAAGGAAGCCACCGACCAACTGACGGACCCGGAGCTTCGTGCCCACCTGTTCGACTCAACCGTTCTCCCAGCGCTCTGCTACGCAGCTGAGACTTGGGCCGACACGTAGCCACGTCGAAAGCTTTTTAAGGACCACCCACAGAGCGCTCGAGCGCAGTCTTCTGAAGATGACCCGACACAAGCAACATCTAGTCGGACTTCGCAGCACGGATATGAGAAGAATGTCCCGTCTTCGTGACCCAGCGGAATACGTTGCGAAAGCGAAACACCGATGGGCCGGTCACATAATGAGAAGAACGGACGATAGATGGACACTAAGAACATCTGAGTGGATTCCTCGCGAAGCCAAACGTCCTCGAGGAAGACCACCGACGAGATGGGCAGACGTGTTCGTGGAACGGATGGACCAGCTGAGAAATCAGCTGGATACGATTTTTGCCCCTGGAACTCGTGGACGCAGCCACCGACGACGACCAAGAAGATCGTGGATGTCCGAAGCGAGGGACGGGGATCAATGGCGACTTCTTACTGGGGCCCGCACGTCACGTGAGGACGGGCCATTTAAGTAAGTAAGTAAAGTCCATGGCTTGTACATCAGCTTGTCAAACATATCCGCGACTTTGCAAAAAGTTTATCTACGGATCCAAATTTGCTGATCAGAAGTTAAGTGAACCCGTTTCACGCGCAATTTCTAGCAGATCCATTTAACGGATCCGCTTGTGCTTTTGCACAATGGACTTTCCTGCTGCTAGGATGTGCTATGCAAAATTTGGGCTCAAGAGGTTGGCTGGAACTCTCTCTACGAATTTCGTAACGGACAGACAGACAGACAGACATACACACAAAAAAAAACGTAAACAACCCTTAGCCCGTATTATAAGTTATGATAATAATACCGCTAGACCATCCCTTTATGGTCATTCCATAAGCTCGTAGCGTATAAACCAACAAACTCATCAATTTACAGTAAAAATTAATGGCCTGTAGAGCTCGGTCAGGGGAGATGATCTTTCCTGAGGTTTTCATGTGAGATTCGACCGCTCATTCTCCCATGCTATAAGGACGCAACATCACTCACCTGAGAAGTGAGCTATAGGTGCAGTTCGGCAGGGAGATGGTCTCTCTGCCGTATCATGGGAGATGATATAAGTGATGATGTTTCTGTAGAAAAAGTGTGCTAAAGAGAAGTCTCAGAAGAAATTTTCGTAAGGCTCCTGAGTAACTTATTCATATTACATCTCAAAACAACTAATAATGCAGACGAGATTGCGCAAAATTTCACAAATTCGGGGGACCTGCGGAGGAAAAGAATTGATGAACAGCCGCCGGATAATCAAGGTTTCTTGATAGCGACTTTTTTGTTAGTGACCCCTGTCAATGATTGCATGCCAATGCAGCAAAAATGACACTTGCCGATCTCGAGCCATGACCGCCTACGTTGCATGACAATCCTTATGCATTTGACCGCACCCGCACAAACACTATTGCTGTTTATTCCTTGAGAACTTTTGCCATGTCTGCAAAAACGATCAACACTCAGATCGATAGCTTGCTGGACTGAGGCGCCAAGAGATCGACTCCGGTCCGCCTTAGGGGATATGCCCTGACGGGAGTTTCTACGGGCCAATCAAAATTATATTCCTCTTTGTAGCGCACTGCCTTTTGCCACATTCCTGTCTGCTTTTGAATCTCAATTTTCCAAACGGCAGCGCGCCGGGTTCCAAGAAAGCCAACTAACTAGCGCTCAAACTACTTACTGAAATCGAGGCATGTACCATTCATGGGGTTTGGTAGAGAGAGGAGCAATTGATAAACTGATAGAGCGAGATTTGGAGAGAACGTTAGGCACTGAAGTACCTTCCAGTCAAATTGTGCAGAACAGTTTTGCCGTATGAGGCCACGTTTCGTCATGCAGATGAACTCATCGAATCCGTCTGTTAGGGTTTTTCTGCGGTAGGACGTGGTTTAGACGGTGCAGCTGGATTGCCTACGGTATGGTTGACCATTGCCTACTTGTACAGCAATTTACAGTGCAAGACGTCCTGCCCGTCCCTCGAAAAGACAAGTCTTGTTCAGCTCAGTCCCTGATCTTTTGTACCATCCAATCCTTTTTGTCTCATATTGATGTGCGAGCGCCACGTTCCATAATCGACGAAAAATCGCGCTTGTTTCCATGAGGAAAAATGCGCAAATGTCGAATCTGCTGCTTTTTGCCTTTCAAGATTTCCATCTTTGAAAGCTGCAAGATCCGAGTGATTCAGCTTTCTACCGGCATCAGTAGACAAGCTTTAAAGAGCACAATCAACTCTTTTAATTGATATACGCATCTTGCAGCAAATCAACCGCTCCTCAAAGATATGAAGACGAAAATGAAAACATTACGAACTTATGGAACGGCCTGATATGTACAATCAAAGTAAGATACATTTTCAAATTCAGGTTCCTACCGAGAAGTGGACGCTGTCAGTATAGATATGTTGACATTCCTTAGAGATATGGTTAATCGCACCGTTATTGACCATTTGATCATGGATAACGAAGGTCCGGAATTTGATCTCTTACCTATGATAGCAGTCGACAATGTACTGGAAAGGAATGGTATAACAATATGTCAGATGAATGTGGAGGTAACATCTCTTCTTACAGTCCTTTTTAGTAATCGCTATCACGTTGCCTCAAAATTCCGTCCTTTTTGAGTCTGACCAGCAATAACCCAT